CCCGCCTCTCCGGCGTCATTAAACAGCGCAATGCGGCCGTCATCCCAGCCCACCCAATCACCTCGTGGGCCGCCGTCGAACGCCCTCCGTCCGCTCGCTCCTGCTGCACCCTCGCCGCCGCCCGCCCCGCCGCCACCGCCCGCCCCCCCGCCGCCGCCCGCCGCCGCCGCCTCTCCATTCTCCGGGGCCTGCTTCGGCGCAGCCGCCTCCGCCTCCGCCTCCGCGTCCGCCGCCGCCTCCGCCGCCGCCGCCGCCTCCGCCGCCTCGCCCTCTGCTTGGTCTGCCTCAGAGCGGCGGCTGGACTGGGACTGGGGCCCGGACGCTGGCGGAGGCGGCGCGGGTGGTGGGTCGAGCAGCTTCCAGATCGTCGGCTCTTCGGCGGCGATCTCGAGCCCCTCCACCGCCACCAGCCCGTCCTCCACATACTCCACGAGGTGCGAGCCCGCGGGAGGCTGCCCGAGGTCGCCGCCGCCAACGCCGCCGCCAACACCGCCGCCGTAGTAGCGTCGGACGAGCGCCTCGCAGAAACGCCCGTCCCCTTCCCACCAGACGGCGACGCGCCGGCCGACGAGCTCTCCACCTCGCACCGACGGCAGGGTGGCGGGCGTAACGCCTGCAGGAGAGTTCCGAGAAGCGTCCTCGGAAGGGTGCGGGGAGCGGGCTGCCGGCAGCTGCTTGCTGGTGCGGTCCCTTCCACACAAAGGCGCGCGAGGCGAGAGTGGCATCGTCCGCCTGCCAGGGGAGACTTCTCGAGATGAGCCGAGAGAGTCTCCGAGAGTCGCCAGATACTCGCCTGCCAGAGGAGAAGTCTCGGAGAAGTCTCGGAGGTGTCTCAGAAGTGTCTCAGAAGTGTCTCGGAGGTGTCTCGGAGGTGTCTCGGAGGTGTCTCGGAGGTGTCTCGGAGGTGTCTCGGAGGTGTCTCGGAGGTGTCTCGGAGGTGTCTCGGAGGTGTCTCGGAGGTGTCTCGGAGGTGTCTCGGAGGTGTCTCGGAGGTGTCTCGGAGGTGTCTCGGAGGTGTCTCGGAGGTGTCTCGGAGGTGTCTCGGAAAGAGTCGCCCGCCTGCCACGGCGCCATCGCCCACGGCGCCCCTTCCCTCTCGTCCACCTGCCGCGATAAATTAAAGTTAATTAAAGCGAATTAACGTTGATTAAAGGTACTTCCCTCTCGTCCACCTGCAGCGAGTTGAGGACGAGAAGGCGCAGCGTGGCCTGCAGGGGTGGCGGTAGCAGTGGTGAAGCAGGTCGCCGCGAGGACAACGGCAGAGAGAGAGAGAGGGAGGGAGTGGGAGGGAGGGAGGGAGGGAGGGAGGGAGGGAGGGAGGGAGGGAGGGAGGGAGGGAGGGAGGGAGGGAGGGAAAGAGGGAGGGAGGGAGGGAGGGAGGGAGGGAGGGAGAGGGGGAGGGAGGGGGAGGGAGTGAGAGAGGGAGAGGGAGAGCGAGAGCGAGAGCGAGAGAGAGAGAGAGGGAGAGAGAGAGAGAGAGAGAGAGAGAGAGAGAGAGAGAGAGAGAGAGGGAGAGAGAGAGAGAGAGAGAGAGAGAGAGAGGGAGGGAGAGCGAGAGCGAGAGCGAGAGCGAGAGCGAGAGAGAGAGAGAGAGAGAGAGAGAGAGAGAGAGAGAGAGAGCGAGAGCGAGAGCGAGAGACGAGAGAGAGAGAGAGAGAGAGAGAGAGAGAGAGAGAGAGAGAGAGAGAGGCAAGAGCCTGCAGGTCGCCGCGTGCTCCCCCCTCCACCGGCCTCGCACCGCTCGCGAGGCTCCGGCGCACGCGCCCCGAGCGGAGCAGACCAGTCAGCGCGTACCGCACTGAAGAGACCTGTTCACGCGCGCAGCTGTGAAGAGACGCCGTTCACGGCCCCGTCAGCGCGCACCGCAGCGGCGAGACCGGCAGCGGCGGCGGCGGAGCCTCGTGCCCCGCCGACCCGTTCGCGGCGGGCCGCTCTCCGACAATCGCGGTGCAGAGCCCAACCAAGTCGACCGACTTGCGGCCGGCGGCGGCGGCGCCCTCGACGCGGTGGCCGGCAGCCGCGCGGGCCGCCGCCTCCTCCTCGCGCCGGACCGCAGCCAGCACCTACAGCCGTCGACCGTCCCGGGTACGTTCCAGCGCCGCCCGCAGACACTGGGCTGTGCTGTTTCTCCACGCCCTCTCCCTCTCTCTCTCTCCCTCTCTCTTGGCGGCATGCGCGCCTGGTCCGCGGCGGCGCGGCCGCCCCCGATACCCCACGCGCCGTTGGCCGCCTCCGCATAGTTGACGGTGCCGGCGGACGCCCGGCGAGGCCGATCACCCGTGAGGGTCCACCGCGCCCGCTTTGCGCCCGGAGGGTCGCCGTCGTCGCTGTCGTCGTCCAAACACGCCTCGACTGGCACCGGCTCGGGCTCCGGCTCGCGCAAGCCAATCTTGCGCTCGAAGTCGATGATCGAGTGGATCTTCTTGCCGTTGCGCGGATCGTGCAGGCAGAAGTCGCCGCGGTTCCGGTCGGAGTGACCGCCGACGCGCAGTGTGTAGGTGATCCGCCACCCGTGGACCGTCGTGTCGGAGTTGAAGCTCTGCTTCTTGACCCGGTTGACCGCCGCCTTGATCTCCTCGGCCTGCTCGAGCGTGAGGCCTCCGTAAGCCATTGCGGAGCGCCAGAGGGCCGAGCCAGGCTGATAAGCGGCAGAAGCCTGAGAGCAGGCTGCCTTGGCCACAAGCGCAGAGAGAGGGTTCGGGTGCCGGGAAGGTATGGACCCGTGCGGCTTTGTGCCTCGCCGTCCTCGCAGGAGTCGCTTAGGCGGCTCCCGTGGTGTACCTGTGTTAGTGCCAGTGCGCGGTAACGTTTCGCCCTCTCAAGAATATTTCGCGGAGCGAAGCGTGGCTGACGTTTCATGGAGAAGCGGCTCGAGGGCCCAACTTCAGAATCGTGCTTTTTTGGTTAGGGACCAAAGCGCGAAGGACCACTTTTGGGTTAGGGACCGCGGGCGACAGGTTAGGGACCGATCGCCGCCGCATACGCCGGCGGACGGCCACCATCGGTGTTTTTGGCTTCGCCACCGTTCAAAGCGTGCGCAATGCGCTCGCCGACATCAAGCGAGCACGCCTGTCCGACGAGCGGCTTGCTGTGTGGACGCCTTCTTGTGGCTCTCGTCGAGAGCGTTTTGCGACCCGGCGGGTGGGAGAATATGTGTCGTCTGATGTGTCACTGTTTACGTCACATCGGTCTTGATAATAAGCACGGTCGATCCGTCGAAGCGATACACTCGTTCCTATCACGTTGGACGGCTGGCACGGGAGCTCTGTGCCAGCAACAGGAACCGAGCCGTACGGCAAGAAGAGCTCGATGGGGAGCGAGAACCGTCAGAGGAGCTTCAAGGGTAACCTGAAGTCCTCCGTGACGCGCTCAATCGCTCCCAAGCGGGTGGCTCTCGAAAACCGTCGATATCTTCCGGAAAGACTGCTCTTGCCGAGCAGCCGATATGCCCAGACGGAGGCGCAGAAAGGCTGCGAGTACTCAACGAGTTCCGCGACCTACGCAGTCAAACCTGGGGGGAACTGACCGCACCATGGCGGACTTCCGAAACCTCCGTGAGCACCTCTGACGGTTCTCGCTCCCCATCGAGCTCTTCTTGCCGTACGGCGGTCTTCCTGATGCGTGCCGGCACAGAGCTCTGTGCAAGCCGTCCAACGTGATCGTGACGAGTGTATCGCTTTGACGTATCGACCGTACTTGTTATCAAGACCGATGTGACGTACACAGTGACACATCAGACGACACATGCTCTCCCACCCGCCGGGCCGCAAAACGCTCTCGACGAGAGCCACAAGAAGCCGTCCGCACAGCAAGCCGCTCGGTCGAACACGTTGCTCGCTCGATGCCGGCGAGCGCATTGCGCACGAGGTAGACGGTGGCGTAGCTAACATCACTGACGAAGACCGTCCGCTGGCGTGAGCGGCGGCGATCGGTCCCTAACCTGCGGTCCTTCACCGCAATCGGTCCTTCGCGCTCGTCCAAACCCAAAAAAGCACGATTCTGAAGTTGGGCCCTCGGCTCTACCCCCCAGGTACGGAGGGCCGTGCAGCCGTTGTGCGAGACTTGAGTATGGCTCGGGTGCACCCCGACCCAACAGGAACGGCTCCGGCTCCCAAATCGCCCGAATTGATGCCGGCGGGATCCATTCCTGCGATTCGCTCGCCTCAACTCCACCGCGAGGCGGTGGACTTGAAGTACCATGTGGAGACCGCCATTCATAAAGTGAAACCGCCATTACGAGACCTTTCCGACGAGACGCGGAATCTCCACGACACTCTCGTCGCAACAGAGCAACTCCTTTTCAGAACCTCCGGTCTGCGGGCTCGACACGAGCTGGCGCAGAAGCACTTCACGATGCGATTTCTTCTCCTTGCGATACCGGCCATGGTTCTCAGTACCGCGGTGCCAGTCATCGAGGCGCTCCTGCCTGGCGAAGTCCCTGTTCTGATCACGACGATCTGTGTTGCAGTCCTCGTGAACTTAAACACCATGCTGGGGTACCAGTCGAGAAAGGACGCGCACGCACGGACTGCCGAGAACCTCGACCGCATGTTTCAAGAGATCTCGACACAACAGGCCGGGACGGTCGTGCTTGCCAGAAAGGCGGAGCGCATGATGAACACCAAGAGCAACGCGGAAAGCGCCAATAAAGAGTCGGAAAGTGAGCTGCGAGAAGTCGAAGACGAGGAAGGAGCACTTCGGAATCGGCTGATGGGCTTTTTCGGAGAAATTGAGAAGAGGATAAGCGGGGATAAGGATAAGAAGTTTTGCGAAGAGCAGCTAACGCCTCAATTCGTGGCAATGCAGCTGTTCAATGACGAAAGTGCGCTCCACGCGAATTTGCCGGCGAATGTCGATGCAAAGAAAGTTGCTGAGGAATGGCTGGACGTAGTTCGAAGGGTTGCAGCAATGAAGAAAGACTTGGATGCGTCCAAGGAAGAGGAGTCGTTGCGACGCAAGGAGCAGCCAGATGAAGATCTGACCCTGGCAGCCAGACAGCTCGGCGATGCCTTGGAAACTCTCGCCTCGCGGCTCACCGAGATTATCCAGTGCTCAACTTCACCTCCCTCGTGGATTTCAGCGAAGTTCGAATTGAACATCTCTTCTGAAATTCTCTTTGATAAAGTGCAGACGGCGTTTGAAGAGGAATTCAAGCTGGAGCTCGAACTCGCGAGGATGGAGGCGAAAAAAAAATCGCACGAGTTGCCATTGCATCGTGCCCACTAGGCCAACAAGACGCAGCAAACCAAAAAGGGGGCGATTTGCACGCATCCTCGTCGAAGGGGACCTCGATCTACAGCCTCCTGTCTGAGGCGTGCGTGGACACCTTCCCGTCGCTGCACGAGGAGATGTACCAGTTGTGCGACATGAGCAGACGCGGATACCCGAGCGGCGTGTACGACATTCGAATGTACCTGGGCTCGTTGCGGCAGACAAGCGCGATGAGAGGCTCGGGCCGGGCGCTTTCTCCGCCGAGTGGCGGTCTTGCCGCGGCCGCTGCGACGAGCTGCGGGGGAAGCTCCGGGCGGCGCAGCAGAACGCGGCGGCGAGCATCTTTGCGACGCTGAACGACGAAGGCCTGGGGATGGGGTCGGACGCGGGTGAGTCAAGGCCCCTCTACGTCGACATGCACGGATTGCACGTCGCCGAGGCGACGGCCAAGTTCGACGAGCTGATCGTGCCCGTGCTGCCTGCCCTCCGCCGCACCCGCTGCGTGGTCGTGACTGGCCGTGGGAGGCACAGCACGAGCGGTGAGGCCAAACTGCGCGAGGCACTGGTGCGGCACGCGCGCCACCGCGGGCTGAGGTGTGAAGTGATGCAGGGGAATGGAGGGGCGTTGGAGATCAGCCCGGCTGTGGAGTGAATATCGGTGAGAGGGTGGGGCGGGGGCCGCACTGCGCACACGCACAGTCGCCCCCGCCGCCCCGCTTTCGCGGATCGCGCGTGCCTCCGCCTCGCGGCGGACCCCCCCACGCTGCCCCACATCTCTTTCGTTCTATGAAAATCGATGTCGTTTGCCGCGGAAAATCTTAGCAAATCGATCGCCAGAGAGTCTCTCTGAGCTAGAGCGAGACTCGTGTCGCGCGCTCATGCGTCTTTGTTCGTGCACTCAAGCGTTCTCTCGCGGTCCCGGTCACGGCCCTGCGAGAGCAGCACCGAGCTCGAATAGCGCGCTCGTCGTCCCCGCCCGCTCGCCCGCCCGCGCCAGTGCGCGCCACACGCTCTGCGTCTCGCGGGACGGGCAGCCGCGCTCGCAGCCGCGATCTGGCGAGGCGCTCGTCCGGCACCTAGTGAGTAGCAAACGACTGAGCAGGCAAGCCACCGGGCTCCACGTCACTGAAGAATACGAATGGTCAGAGGCTAATTGTCGGAGGGTTCGTCGCCTGATCGGCTTCGCGGCGCTTCCGCGCGGCTGCGAGAAGCCGATCACGCGCCCCGTGCTGCGAGGACGGCCGGGCAAGCCTCGTCTGTGCAGCTCCTCCTCCACGGCGCCTGTTCACGGCAACGGGCTGTGAACGGCGCCTACTCGCGGCAGCTCGACGCCCCTCCCTCTGCAAGGGCACCAGCGGCGCGCTGCGGCCGGCCGACCATCGCGTAGACGGGGTTCCGGTCCTTGGCCGAGTTGGAGTCATACCTGCGGGGGCAGCAGAGACGGCGGCGAGGGCGGCGGAAGTCGGGGGAGGGGCGTAGAGGGCAGAGGGGGGGGGGGGGGGGAGAGCGGGCTCGATGGCAGCTGAGTGGCGGAGTCTAGGACGGGGTGGGAGCTCGGTGGCAGGCGTGGAGGGGAGGACGGAGAAGGGGCCACCGCAGCGGGGTCAGGTAGGCGACGTCGGGAAGCAGCTCACAGAGCGAGTGGAGATGGTCGCTGCCAAAGCAGCGCACTGACCGCTCGCCGCAAGGCTTCGGATGCACCTGCCGCCGCCAGTACCCTGATCAGCGCCACGGCAAGACAGCGAGGGGGAGGGCAGGGATAGCCGGGCCCAAGCGCCCAAAGTGTAGCCCCTCTCCCATCCTGTCGCTCCAGCTGTCGTTATTTTGTCTCTCGTCCGCCGCGCGCCTGCGCCGCCCGCCGCGCCACCGCCGCGAAAAAGGCGCCAAAGCGGCACCACGGCACCAGCTGCGCCGCATCGGCGACGCCGCGCCTGTTCTTCACCGCAGGGACGGGTGAGCTGACGCTGTTCGTGCCAGATGTGCTGCGCCGGCGACGCCGCGCCCGTCGAGCGTCTCAAACGGGACACGGAGCCGGCAACCGAGCGCCGCGGGGTGCGGCAACGGCAGCGCCTTGACTTCGAGGTCAGCGCGGAGGAGGAGGAGGCAGCTCCAACTCCGGATGTCTTCGGTCCGCCCTCGCTGCTCTCCCGGCTGAGCGTCCAGCTCGGAGGAGGAGGAGGAGGCAGCTCCTCCCTCGCCCAAGTGATGGGAGAGCGCCCACTGCAACGTATAGGCAATCGAGAGCATCTGGCTCGCGCGCAGCTGCGATGTCACGCGCACCGCCGCCGCGCGCAGCTCGTGGACAGCGCGTGCCCGTAGAGCGGCGCTATGCCGCTCGGACGCGACCACGTCGACCAACACGGTGCAGGCCCAGCCAGACCGCGCCTGGAGCGCGGAGCTGGCGATGAGGTGGAGGTGGTGGGTGGTGACGCATGGTGGCGGCGTGGCTGACGGACCGCCGGAAGCAGGACACGTGACCGCACGCTTCTCAACGCTCGCCACTGAGTGCTGCCGCTCTCGGCGCTTCTCCGCGAGTGCTGGCCGCCCGTGCGGAAGGCCTGGCCGCGCAGCACCACGAGGAGGTGAGCGGAGGCGCTGGAGCGGTTGGAGGGAAACGGGCCGCACGAAAAATCGCCGCCGGCGCGCTGGCCGTGGTCCCGCCACGCGTTTTCTATGTCGGCCTCGGCGACGGGGCACCGTGCCCTCCGAGCGGGGCGGGGTCTGCCGGGGTCTGCCTGTCGGGTTGCCCTATCCCACCAGGGGTTGACTGCTCTATTTATTTATCATAACTAGCTGCGGGGCTCGCTAAACGCTCGCCGAGCTCCATGCTGTGCAACACCACCTCGTCCTGAGCCTCGGCAGCGCGCTGCGCGGCGCGGCGCTCGCGCCGCTGCGGTGCCGAGAGCGGCATGATGGTTCGCCAGCTGAAGCTCGAGACTCCTCGGGTCCGCGAGTTCTGGGGGTCACGGGGATAAGCCGCGGACGACGCGAGGCCCTTATATCTTTAGAGAAATCGTTGGCCTTCAGTTCACGAAGTCCCCCCGTTGGGCCGACCCTCCGATTTTATGAGAAGAGAACAAAGGGAGTGATTCTTTGCTGTGAGAGGGAGTTGTTTTTGTTAAATTCCTTGAGCTAGCCTTCGATGTGACGCATCGCTCTCGGGCCCGCAGACATCCCGCACACCCGCCGCCCCCGCGCGCGCGCCCGGGAGAAAGGGGAGTGACAGTTTGGGATGGAGAGATTCGTGTCTTTGGGGGGGGGGGGGGGGGGGCGGGGCGTTTGATTCCCCAATGGTACCGCCCGGAACGGAAGCTCCGGGCCTTCGGTTTGCCCCTCCGCCGCACCCGAGCACGATGGGCGCGCCCACTCTCGCGTCTGTGGAAGGCTCCGTCACTGACCTGGTGCACGTGAAGCGTGCGCTTCTTTCCGTCTCGGACAAGACTGGCCTCGTCGAGCTCGCCAAATTCCTCCACGAGAAGGGCGTTGAGCTGCTCTCCACCGGCGGCACCGCCAAGACAATCCGGGAGGCGGGTGCGCCAGTGCCAGCCGAGAGAGAGGGAGGGAGGGAGGGAGGGAGAGGGCACGGCGCATGGCCGCCTCTCCATCTCCGCCCGCACCGCGCCTCCAGGCATGCCGGTCAAGGATGTGTCTGAGTACACTGGATTCCCCGAGATGCTCGACGGGCGCGTGAAGACGCTGCACCCCAAGGTGCATGGCGGCCTCCTTGGTGTCCGTGGCAACGCGGCGCACGAGGCGCGCCGCGCCCTGCGCCCTCAATCTCACGGCTCACGTGGAGCTGAAGAAACCCCGCCCTGCGGGTTTGCCCCCGTGCCAACGGCACCGGCACGCGTCAACGGAGTCAAATGTGGCGCGAGCCGGCGGATTTATCGCCAAAGAGGAAGGGCCCATTGTCTGATCCACGATCACCGCCCGGCACCACGATTATTCGCCCCCTCCACTGCTCCTACCGGCTGCCGCCGTGTGCACTCTCTCCGCGCAGGCGGCCATGGCGGAGCACGGCATCGGCAACATCGACCTGGTGATTGTCAACCTCTACGCCTTTGAGGCCACGGTGGCAAAGGGTTCCAACTTTGAGACGTGCATCGAAAACATTGACATTGGCGCGGGGCTGCCGTGGCGGGGTGTAGGGCGGCCGCGAAGCCAAGTTTTTAGCAGTGTGTGGTGGGCACGTTAGGCGGGCCCTCGATGCTGCGCTCGAGCGCGAAGAACCACAAGGCGGTGACGGTTTGCGTCGATCCGAGCCGCTACGGCGAGATCATCGCGGACATGAAGAAGTACGACGGCGCGACTTCGCACGCGCTCCGGCGCAGCTTCGCCGCCGCCGCCTTTGCCGCCTCCGCCAAGTACGAGTCCGCCATCTCCTCCTGGTTCGCCTCGCAGCCGGGACTGGAGGCCCCGGCCTGTGCAGCCTGACTGAGTTTTTTTGGGGGGGGGGGGTGGGGGGTTCTTTAAAGCAGACCATTCTTTGTCCTTTTCTAGTGTTTGTGAGTGAGCAGTGTGAGAGAGCGGAGACTAGCTGGAGTCTCAAGGCGACCCCCCGCGCCGGCGACCGGGTCGTGTCCAGGGCGCAGGGGACGCCGCGGCGCGGCACGCGCTGCCCAGTGACCGGGTGGGTCGGCCCCCGAAGAAGAAGAGCTCCTACCAGAGAAGGTTCTCGGAGGTGCATGGACGAACCCTGCCCAGCCCCCCTCCGTGTCGCGATGCAGCCCAGTGACTAGGGGCGGGCCCAGCCGGGCGGAGAAGATCATCTCGCGGTGCGTCGCACCGGCCGGTCCGGTTTTTCGGCTTGAGCGGGTCGTCGTGAGACGGCCGCAAGAGTGAACGGCACCGCGAACCCACAGTGGTGTGCCATAGAGCCGGCCGGCCGGCTCGCAGCCATGCCGCTGGTGCGCCACGCCCGCCTCCTGTCCGGTGGCTCCAACCACAGCCCGCCTCACCGTCCATGAAGCTTCTGGGTCCCGCCGGTGCCGTCGTCCGGAGGGTATCGGTGGGGCCATCATCGAAATCTCGGTGGCGGGGCATCATTGACTCCAGCGGCCCCTCACATCCCGGAGGGACGGCGGACGAGCCGGCCAGTGAGGGGGCGGATCGGTCCCATATAGGAGCGGGCCCAGCCGCGCGGAGAAGACCACCGAGCTCGAAACACGTCGCCGCGGCCGGCCGTTTCGCAAGCCTCGCTCTTAGACAGCGTCCGTCCTCACGCGCCACGCCCTGCCTGCGAACAGGCGACTACATCGTCAACGGCGACAAGGGCACGAAGTACTCGCGCAAGGCCAACTTCACGTGCCTCCTCGAGTAGAGTTCGAATCGACGTCTCGCGGTCTGTCACTCTGGGCCGGCGCGGGGGCCCCAGAGGGTGTCCATGCGGGGGGGAGATGGGGTCCCATGGCCCGCCGCAGGCGCCGATTTTTTCGCATTTTTTTCTTTTTTGGCGATTTTTTACCTTCTCCTGGGAAAGTTATTTAGGGACACCCCCCTACCGCCGCCCAGTACGTGCTCCGCAGCTGAGCCCACGCACCCCACAGCAGCTCAGGGACACAATGAGCTCGCATACGAGTGCTGGTACGCACAGCTCGACGCGTACTCGAATGCTGCCACTGTCATTCTAGCCGGCGAGCGGCGGCGTCACAGCGTCGACTCTCGCATCGCGATGAGACGCACTGCTTGCCCAGACGCGCGCCTTGGCGCGCTCCTGTGGTGCAGGAGGAAGGCCAGCGGTCGTGCTGCGCAGGCCCGGCCGTCTGGCTGAAGGGAGCAGCAGCTGGCGCTCAACAGCAGCGCTGGCGAGCAGCGCAGCCACACCACACTCCCGCCAAGCCACGTGTCATTTCCCGCCAAGATTTGGCGCCAAAATGGCACTTCAGTGTCCACCTAGCCACGTGGTCGCGGCCTGAAGCTCCAAGCTTCTGGGAGTGAGGTCCCACATCACAGGGCTCCATTTGGCTCAGTTGGAAGCACCGTCCAATCGTTCGCCGATATCCGAAACCGGGGTGTCCCTAAATACAGGCCTTGTCAGGTTCTCGCTCATCCACCCACCCTCCTCGACCTTCCCGACGATACCAGCGGGCCCGCCTCCACCTAGAAGACTGGTGCTGGGGGGTGGGTGTTCCCTGCTTCCGGCTACTGCATATACCTGAGCTAGGGCCTGAGAGGCCTCGCTGGAGCCGAGGCATAGCGGCGTGATTTCGGACCTCCACCACCCTCGTCATGTCCCGGGCTGTGTGGCCTCAACCCTAGCCGGCCCGCTGTTCCTAGGGTTGCGCGAGCTGTCCGAAGCTGTCACAGCTAGGGTTGCAAGACCTCAAAAGCCGGCCATCCACCACCCGAAAATGGCCGCCCTCCCCTCCAGAGCGCCGCCACAGCCGTCGTGCAAAACGGCCCAACCACCGACACGACCGCCACCGTCCGGCGGCAAGGCATACGCTCTGAGGCCGTAGAATGGGTACGGCTGCATCTAGCTCTTTGCGCGGGTCAAGTGTACCTGGTCTCCCCTTGATGGTCCTAGGCGGGCTTCTTCACAGGAGTCGATCTTGGAGAGGGGCAGTGCTCACTCTGCACTCTCTGGTCGGCCTGCTGTATCGACCCGTCGTGGCTTCACATCTACCTCGTGCCAGCGGCTCTCCTCGGCACCAGAGCGCTCCATCGAACGCCAGAGCCTGTCCTGGGGCGGGTCCCCACGCCCTTACAATCATACGCATAAAAAAACCCGGACTCAATCGATTGTACTGCGGTGGTGTGAGTGAATGCACCATGAGCAAAAACCTGACTTGGCCTGCGTTCAACGCGACCCGACAGGAGGGCACTCGGAGGGGTGGGGGCTGGGAGGGCTGGCCAAAAGCGAGGCGTAGGAGGGCTCGTGAGGGCTTGGGAGAGGTGGAGAGCTCGGAGGGGTCGGAGAGATAAAATCCCCGCAAGAGAGCCTATAGAGCGGTGCAGGCCGCACACAGGCCACATAGAGCCTCTGTCCACAGAGCGCACTCGCCGTACTGAGCCTAGCGCAGCGCGAACTCGCCGTCTGATGATGAGCCTAGCGCAGCGCGAACTCGCTCTGTTCGCTGCGCAACGCTCTGTTCGCTGCGCAACGCGAGCCGAGCTACCGGCTGGCCTGGGCGTGCAACTTCAGTCGGCCTCAGTGGCGCGTGTTCTCACCAGAACAGTGCCTCCGCGGCGCTGCGGCGGCGCCCGAAAGGCCGATCCGACCCGGCAGCCCCCCGGAGCGTGCATCCAAGCGTCCGCCACCGCCGGCTCAGCCCCGGCTCGACATGACTCTGGCCCGCGCGGGGTCGCCGACGGCGCCGAGTCGGCGCCAGAGGCACGCCCGGCGGCCGGATGGTCGCCTCGAGCGCTGAGCGGCTGCCGCCACGGTCACTTACGCTCGAGTTGCGCCAGGTGCGCCTCTCGGTGGCCCGGCGCGGCCGCACGTGCTCTCTGTAGATGTCTGCTCTCACTCGACGGCAGGCGTGCTCCGTGCTCTCGCCCGATTCTCTCCCTGCCGCCGGCCTCCGCCCCCGAGCGACCGCCGCCGCACACCGACTATTGCCGGTATGACTGCCTTCCCTCACTCAGCCGTCCGTTTGTCCTCAGCGCTCGCACGACCGACGTTCTTCCTCCTCTGCGGCCTCGCTCGGGCCCGCTCGTCGACACGCGCAACCAGCAGACGCCCGTGTCGGAGCTTCTGTGCCGGCTTGGAGCTTCCATCGCTGATGGGGGCACGCCCGGCCCGGCACTCTCGCACACCGTGGAGCGCGGCACCGCGCGCGCTCACGCCGCCCACCTTTGCTGCCTGCGCAGGTGCGGCTCTGTCCCGGCGGCTCACTCATCGAGCACCACGGCTGCGCGGCGGCTCACTCATCCGCACCACCGCGACCGGTGCGCCATCCCACATCACGCCTCTCGCCCACGTCCACCCGCACATACACTCTCTCACTCTGTCATGAGTAGTCTTCAATCGACACGGTCTCTTGGAGTAGTCACATCAGCACCGGCGCCGGCACAGCGCACCGCTACACTCGCCTCCGTTAGGTTGCAAACATCGCCCTCAACATCCGCTTGCGCCTCACACGTCCGGGGGCAGTGTCGCGCGAGCCACGGCTTAGCACCGAGGCCAGGCTCTTAGCTCTACGTGTGGGGGGGGGGGGGGGGGCGGGGGGGAAGGCCGCCTAAGTCAAAAAAAAAGCCCTAGCGTCCAAAGAGGCTAGTAACCCTTTCGAGGGGGGGCTCCCCGCCCGTCTTGTCCTGGCATATCAGAGAGGCGAATGGGACAGGGGTTGAAGGGGTACTTGGTGTACAGACTCAGAGTACACCCGGCCGTTTGAGGTTTGTCGCGTTTCTCTACAAAACTGTGTCCAAGCCGAAGGCCCGAAGCGCAGGTCCGAGCTCGACATGCGACCAACGTGGTCCCGCACACCAGTGCTCGTGCTCGCACGTGCGGCCGCCTCTCCTGCTCGACTACTCGTGCTCTGCCTCTGCGCGCTCGCTGCGTCCGTGCCACTTCTTCGCTGCCTCTCGCCGCTGCTCCTGTCCTTGACTGCGCCTCGGGTCGAGGCGCCAGCAGCAGCGTCAATGGAGTGGCTGGTCCACACTGCAGCAGCGCCGCGGGCGGACGCGAGAAGGAAAACGCGACCGTGCCGATGAGCGCGAGCAGAAGCAGCGGGAGCGCGGGGCAGCACGACGGGTCGGGCAAGACCTCGGCCCAGCGCCGCGCGTTGCCCGTGCCGCCGCCGCCGCCGCCATCGGCGTCGCCGACCACAGGCTCGTCGTCCGGCGCGGCATCGTCGTCGGCGGCAGGGGGTGGGGGGTCGGCGGGCACGTCCTCGTCGTAGCCGTCGTCATCGGGATCAGGAGTGACGTATCGCGCGGGCGACATGCCGGCGAGCTCGTCGACCGTCGAGTAGGTGCCTGCGACCGAGCACGGGGGTGCGTGATGCTCGGACCGACGCATGGGACCGGCTCTTCCGCGCGTCGAGAGCGGCGACGCTTTCGAGGCGCGCAGCAGAGGCCCGCGGTGTGCTTCCGAGCGCGTCCGCGGCCGCGACGCGGCAGCGGGAGGTGCCCCGCCCACCAAGGCAGCCGGCCCGGCCGCTGCGGGGCCGTCGCGGGGGCGCAGGCGGGCGGGGCGACCTCAGATTTCGCGGCTGGCAGCGGGCGCCGCCAGCCGGTTTCTCGCGATGTCCATCCCACGTCGACTCGCCTCCGCTGCCACCGCCGCCCCCTCGCCAGACACGCCGCCGCCCGCCCGCCTCCTCGACCTCCCCACGGACCTCCTCGAGCGCGCCCTCTCTCGCTGCGACCCCGCCGACATCGCTCGCGTCGCGGCCGTCTCGCTGCTCTTCCACTCGCTCGCGGAGCAGGGCATCCGCTTGTGGGCGCACGAGCGCGGCTTCGAGCTGCCGGCGCAGCCAGAGGGCGAGACCTGCGCTGTGCGGTGGCTGTGCTATTCTGCGCTGCTGTGCGAGTCCAACCCGCCGGCGAGGGCTGCGGCAGGAAAGCGGCACAGTGTCTTCATTGACGGCGAGGGGCGGCTCTCATTGTGCGGCAGTGAGGCAGGCTTTCCAGGGCTACTCGGGCACGGCGAGGGTGCGACGCGGCTCAACACGCCGACCCGCCTCCCGTCGAAGCTGGGCGGCGAGCGCGCCGCGAGCGTGTCGGCTGGTGTCGGCCATAGCCTCGCCCTGACCGCCGACGGCGCTGTCTGGAGCTGGGGCGATGGAGGCTTTGGCCAGCTGGGCCACGGCGACTCGCAGGACCAGCGGCAGCCCAAGAAGATCGATGCGTTGGCTGATCGGCGCGTCGTCGCTGCGTCTGCTGGAGCCGTGCACAGCCTCGCCATCACCGCCGACGGCTCCGTCTGGAGCTGGGGTGATGGAATCTTTGGCAAGGTGGGCCACGGCGACGAGCAGCGCCAGCTGCTGCCAAAGAAGATCGAGTTCTTGGCGGGGCGGCCCGTCGTCGCCGTGTCTGCTGGATCCCGCCACAGCCTCGCCCTCACCGCCGACGGCGCTGTCTGGAGCTGGGGCCATGGAGGGAACGGCCGGTTGGGCCACGGCGACGCGCAGGACCGGCTGCTGCCGAAGAAGGTCGAGGCCTTGGCTGACCAGCGCGTCGTCACCGTGGCGGCTGGAGATGCTCACAGCCTCGCCATCACCGCCGACGGCAGCGTCTGGAGCTGGGGCGATGGAGACTCTGGCCGGGTGGGCCACGGCGACGAGCAGGACCGGCTGCTGCCAAAGAAGATCGAGGCCTTTGCTGGCCAGCGCGTCGTCGCTGTGTCGGCTGGAATTGCCCACAGCCTCGCCATCACCGCCGACGAGGCCGTCTGGAGCTGGGGCGGCGGACTCTATGGCAAGTTGGGCCACGGCGACTCGCAGTACCAGCTGCTGCCGAAGAAGGTCGAGGCCTTTCCTGGCCATCACATCGTCGCTGTCTCGGCGGGAGTCCACCACAGCCTCGCCCTCACCGCCGACGGCGCTGTCTGGAGCTGGGGCCGTGGAGCCTCCGGCAGTCTGGGCCACGGCGAGGACCTGTTGAACCAGCTGCTGCCCAAGAAGGTCGAGGAGCAGGGAGGGTGAGCGCGAAGGTGCGCGAGGCGCGCCGGCGGGGGCAAGGCACATGCACATGCACATGCACATGTACAACACGTCGTCTCGGTCCTTTTGATCAAAAAACACCATTTTGGGTCGGGAGAAAAGGGAGAGGGGTGTTGTGTTCTCTAGCGTCTAGGCCCCTAGAGCGGCCGCACACTGGTCACTGCCTAGGTCACTGCTCTCGGTTACGGTACCCCCGCCCCTGCAAGCTGCATTCATCTAAAGTCCATCCCTGCTGCTGGGGGGGGGGGTCTGACCGAGGGAGTTTACTCATTAAATTCTTTTTTGCCAGTGCGCGCCAGTCCCGTGCCAGTGTCGTGTCGGGGTGCAAATTTCTTTTTCCACTCAAGCGAGAGAAGGTGGAAGTGGACATTTGCAGCATGCTGCTCGGCCTGCTCCTCTCGCTCTCGTCGGGCCTCGCTCTCACGCCGCGGCTCGCTCTGCGAGCGGCACGGCCTCCACGTTGCGCGCCTCCGGCGCTCGTCTCCGAACGGCACAACCAGGCCTACAAGGAGACGATCAAGCTCTTTGAGCCGCTTGCGCCTGATGCGCCGCTCCGCCGCGTGCCCCTGGCCTCGCACGTGCCGCACCCGGACGGCGACTGCCTCATCCACACCACCACCGAGCCGCTCCTCAGCGCGGCCGAGTGCGCTGCGATCGTGGCAGAGTCGGAGGAGTGGGCGGCGCGCGAGGGCGGCTGGACGTCGAGGCGGCACTTTAACCACCCGACAATTGACATCCCTCTCTCCGAGCTGCCCGCGACGCGCTGGTTCCTCAACACCGACGCGCTGCCCAAGCGGATCTACCCGATGCTCGGCGCCGCTTTCGAGGAGAGTTTGCCAAACTGGCGCGCGCTGCGGGTGGCGGACGCGTTCATAGTGAAATATGACGCGGCGGGAGGGCAGACGCACCTGAAGCCGCACCGCGACGGCTCGGTCGTCTCCTTCAACATCGCGCTCAACGAGCGGTGCGAGTACGAGGGCGGCGGCACCTGGTTCGACGGGCTCGGCGAGGCGCTGCCGATCGAGCGCGGCCACGTGCGTGCCGTGCCCTCTTCTCCCTACCATCGCCTTCCCCGCCAGGCTCTTCACACCTCTCTCTCCAGCGCGCCCCTTATCCATTTTAGGTGTGCTGCCACGCGAGCGGGGTGCTGCACGGGGGCCACCCGATCACGAGCGGGGTGAGGTACATCCTCGTCGCCTTTGTGATACTCGAGGGCTACCAGAACTGGGCGATGCGGTTCATGAAGTCCGTCTGGGACTACTGAGTCTGCTACTGAGTCTGCCCATTCCCTCGTGCGGTAGCCGCGGTGACCGGTGTTGAGTCTTGTGCGTATGGGGTGTAAATATGCGACATTTTTCGGCGGAGAGTTCTCAAGAGAGCCCCGCAAGCCGCTACGCGCTAGCCGCGCATGCGCGGGGGCGGCGGCATGTCCATGTGTGTGATCATGCGACTCTCTCCTACGAGGCCACGACTCTCCGAGATCTTCCCCGCAGAGAGACACCCGACCTACAACTCCCAACGACAGGCCGAGTCGGACAAAATGAAATGCACCAAAAGTTGTGATTCCTTGGAGCCCAGTGCGCGATGCCGGGCTGGCTCTGACCTCGCTGCGCTGTTCCTCGGTCCTCACATGGCTACGTCTGGTCCCTGTTACGAGGCTGCCGCGGCCGCCGCCGCGGCCTTTGCGCCGACGCCCTCGATCACACCGTTGAGGTGGGCTCGCAGCTGGCGCGCCGCCGGGTAGCTCATGTCTCTCGGCACCGAGATGCGGTCGCGCAGGTAGCCGAGGCTCGCGGCAGCGGCGCGTGGCTCGATGCCGCCAGACAGCGTGTCGGGCGAGAGCGCCGCCGCGCCCGCGTCGCCCTCGCCGTCGAGCAGGGCGTGCGTTGTGTGCCTCAGCAGCGCATCCACGACCGGCAGCGCCTCCTCGGCGGGCGCGGCGTTCGGGTCGGACAGCTCCGCCGCCACGGGCGGAAAGCCTGCTCGTCACCTCTCCCGGCAGTGAAAAGCGGCCGAGGGGGGGAGCACAGCGGCTGCGAGGCGGGAGGCACGCCGGGGGCGCTCAGGCCGCGCGCAGCGAAGCGGCCGATCGCCTCGTGGTTGTGGAGGAGCCGCTCCGCCGCCTCGCGCCGCGCCTAAACAGAGGACGATCGCGCCCAAGAGACGGTGTGCCCCGTGGAGGAGGTGTTCGCGCCGCCTACTCGCTCCGCGCCGCGTCGGCGCCGGCGCCGAGCCCCTGCAGCGGCTGCAGCAGCGAGCCGTCGTCTTCCGGCAGCGGCAGCGACCAGCTCCCGTCCGAGCCGTCGATTTCCGCGGCGAAGTCCTCCGCCTCCGGCACCGACTGGCAGCGCCCGATCTGAGGCGCCGTCCGCGCGATGGTGAGAGACCGGCGAGGGAGACCGGCGAGGGCGGTGCCGAGGTGCGTGGTGGTGGCGCGCGTGTGTGACGGGGGCGTGGTGGTGGTCTGCGGGAGACGACCGCGGCGTGTGTGTGGTGGCGCCTGCGGCGGCAGGTCGTGGACGTGCGTGTAAAAGTCGGACTGGACGTGCCGGTACGAGGGGCGCCTGTTCACAGCTGCAGGTGTGAAGAGACGCCGCTCACAGCCTTAAGGCGCCTGCCGCTCGAGGAGGCGCACGACTCCATCGCGAGGAACCACTGCTCGAGGCGGGGCCAGCCGTCATTGCGCCGCAGCGTCAGCGCCTTGTAGTAGGGGAGCGACGCGGCCATCCGCTCCAGAAAGGGCGCAAACATGCAGTCGACTAGCGAGAGATCCGCGCCGAGGAAGTACGGTCCGCCGCTTGCGGCGAGCTCGCCGTCCACGCGGCGGAGGAGCGCCTCGAAGTTGGCCCTCTGTGCGCCCTCGGACGCGGAGGAGGTGAGCCAGCGGAACCTACTCGGCCACAGAGGGAGTCCTCCTTGACGCATTTTTGCATGGAGAGGAGGGATGGGAGGAGGGGGAGCCAGGCAGAGAAGAGCTCGGCTAATCTCGGCTAATCTCGGCTAATCTCGGCTAATCGCGGGACCAGGCAGAGAAGAGCTCGCGCTCGAGGCTGAGCAGCGGGCGGACGCGCGGGTCGCCCTGCGGCAGCAGCGGCCTGTGCGAGCAGCAGCTGCTCGTGTCAAAAGAGAGGCGTGGGCCCTAGAGACGAGGCGTGTGGGAGTGCCGGCAGCGTTCCTGTCAGGGAAGGCCTCCTCGACCGCCATGATGATGTCGTTCGACTCGCGGATCACCTGCCGGTCCGCGGAGTCCGTTTACTGTTGTGTGCGAGCGGTGCGGGGATCTTGGGAGGTGACTGTGGGGTGTCTGGGAAGTGGAGGGGCCTCGCCTGCCCGTCAAGCTTTGCGACGTGGGAGGTGACTGTGGGGTGTCTGGGAAGTGGAGGGCCTCGCCTGCCCGTCAAGCTTTGCGACGTGGGAGGTGACTGTGGGGTGTCTGGGAAGTGGAGGGCCTCGCCTGCCCGTCAAGCTTTGCGACGGGGATCCCTCCCGACGGCTGGATCGCCCAGAACCAGGCCGGCTTGTCACCGTAGCAGTTCATGTTGACCTTCTTCACCTCATACGGCACCCGCTTCTCCTCCAGCACGAGCCACACCTTCTCGCAGTACGGACACCACGCAGCGGTGTCGCGGAAGAGCGTCAGCCTCGGCGCCTCGCCGTCCGGAAGGTCAAACAGCCGCTGCGACGCGAGCGAGCAGGCGCGTGCGGCACGGCCGGACTCAAGGTCCTGCCGGAAGGCGCGCTCGTCGTCCGTCGAGGCCGTGTCGAGCTTTGCGGCCAGCGCCTCCCACGACGGCGCAGCGTCCTCAAGGCGCTCGGCTGACACAGCCCCGCCGCCGCCATTGCCGCCGCCGCCGCCCATAAGGGTTCGAATCATGTTGTTGAGCTGCATTCGGACGGGTGGAGCTCGCAGCGGCGTCCGGATCGTGAGGAGGGTGGTCGCGAAGAGCATGCAGTCCTGGGTGTGAGCAGTGCAAACGCGATTTTTTTCTGAGCTACCCTGTACCCGTTTCGACTGAAAGTTTGAACCACACGCACAGCGCGAGGCCTTGCGCCCCATGCGGTACGTTCTGGGTCGGTTCAGCACGGAAAAGAATTTTTCCCATGTCGTGTCCGTTAGAGAGCGCCCCCAGAGCTATAGGGCTCTCTGGAACTGGGGCGCGATATGATAGTAGGAGAGGGCGCAGCGGTGTGGCAGCGCTGGTAATTTCCGTACGAGCTGTGTGAAGAAGAAATAGTACGTCCCAATTGTGGAACCTGCCCACCACTCTGGTGGGATGTGGTTTGACCGCGCCGACACGCGACAGAGATCAGAGTGCTCTCAGTGGACAGGAGATACCGCGCCCTCGCTCTCCCCCGCGACGACCGGGGGTGCAGGGATCTACAATGCTGTCTTAAAGCCCGACAGGTTCGGCACCGGGCAACGCCTCGGTATACAAAGTGCGCCTGCGGGCGGACCCCCACAGATCACAGCTCACAGATCACAAAAAACACCCAAAAGGTACGTCCCAATGCAACTCATTATAATTGCGACGCCGACGGGAGGGTGCAGCACTTCGCGACTTCACCCACCAGTGTCGCCTGCTCGTGACGAGTCTACTCTTGGTCTGCGTGCACGATGCGCGTCCTCCTGGCCTCCCTGTTTGCGGGCTGCAGCGCGACCGAGTGGGCGATCGTTAACCTCATCCGACATGGAGAGCGGACAGACGACAAGGCCAACCCACACCTTGCTCCTGACGGTGCCCACAGCTGCCCTCCACACCACTCGTCGTCAAGCCACCGCCCCATCCTCAACCGTGCAGAGGTGACACCCTTGCTCGTTGCGCAGGCCACACTCGGGCCCAATACATTGCCAAGTGCGCCTCCAAAGTCACGCCATCGCTCGCCTTTCCCCTGGGGCCGCCGACACACCTCCTTTCGAGCCTGCGAATCGGGCCGCACGGAGAGCCAAAGTCGGTGCGGCCGTACGAAACGATCGAGCCGCTCGCAAAAAAGCTGGGCCTGCACCTTGGCAACAACGTGACGACTGCCTCCTCGCCCTTGCTCCCCACGCGGTCGCTGGCCAGGCTAGCACCCCAGCATAGTAGCCTGGTCCGATGGTGACGGTCGTCCGACACGTCCGCGTCCGCAGGTGCACATGGCCGACACCGAGCGGTTTGTGCAATACATCTTTGGCTTGCCCGCGGGTGCGACGGCCATGATCTCGTGGCAGCACTGGTGGATCACCTGGCTGCTGAAGACGCTCTACCCAAACGCGCCCGCCTTCCCCAACTACTGCCCCTACTCGCAATGGGTCGGCCCTGCAGCGGTGCACACGCTGTAAGCGCCGCTACCTTTGCCTGAGCCCTGCCTGAGCTCTCCACTGTAGGTCGACCTGCCAGAGTACACGCACGGCAGGTGCTACGACATCATGTTCCAGCTCCTGCTCAAGCGGCCCTCGTCCGACCACCACTGGCACGCCACCGCCTTCTCGATGGTGCGATCTGTCCCCTACCGAGCGCCATCGCGAACCACATCGCCCAATCGGCCGCCCCTCTGAGATTGGCCTCTGCTCACCGGCCGGCAGCCGCGTCGAGAACCTCGTCCTCCCTCTCCCTCTCAACATACGTGTACATGCCTTGTCCTGGCCCAACAGATGCAGATGGGCTTTGCGGGCAAGAATGACTCGGAGTGCGCCTCATCTCTGGAGCCGTGGTCCAATCCGTCGGCGTGGCACCAGGCCCGCTGCCCAAACATGCCAACACGTGAGCTCCCCTGGCGAGGCGACCGCCTTTCCGCCTCGCCACAGGTGCGTGCAGAGCCGGGCGCCATCCCTCTCCCAAAGACGCACTTTGACCCCGCGCTGAGCAAGTGCGAGTCTTGGTGCACTCCTGACGTGCACATGCCCGGCAAGTCGCCCTCGCACTGCTACGCCAGCTCGTGCCACCAGTGCGACTGGTGCAAAGGGCAGCCCGGCTCAAACGTGACCAACTCGCCATACTACAACCCGAAGTCGCCAGACGATGCGCCGGTGAAGGGGCCCGAGCCAAGCGTGCTCGAGCACCCTCTCCTCCTAGCCATGACGCTGCAAGACGAGGATTTCGAGGGGGGTGCACCACCCGTCGGCGCCCCGACGCTCAGCGCGGTACCCTCGCCTTTGGACGCGACGCCCGAGCCCGCGCCCGGGCGCTCCCTGCTCCTCTACGCACTCGCCTCGGTCGGTGCAGCGGCGCTTGCCGCGGCGGTGGGCTTGCTGGTGGCCCCCACGCGTGCCGTCAAGGCGCTCTCCGGACCGCTGTTTGCCGTCACCGAGGGCCACGACGGGGAGGGAGGACGGGAGAGCACGCCCTACGTCGCCGCTTGAAGGTTTTCCTGCGTGCACACGGGAGACAGAAGGGCGGCGATTTTGGACCTGGTTCGATCGCGTGACACGCTCGCGGAACTGACACTCCCTCGCGGAACTGACACACCGGAACCGCGTCGGTGAGGGGGGCGATTGCACGAGTTGCCGCGAGAGGTGAAGCGGTAGCTGGTGGCTAAGCAGTAGAGCTGAGCTAGCGTACGGCTCATACGGCTTTAGCCTCGCTGGTAGCAATGCCAATGGGGTACACCTACACAAGGAGACTGGACATCTGGAGTGTGGAGAGGGAAAAGAGTGCGGGGTGTTATGTGGTTTTAAATCGAGACTGCAGAGAGGAGCGGGTGACTGCACACGACAGCGCTCAAAAAAGATCATCCAGCGGACACCGGCGTTTCAGAGAAGGGCAGCGCTGTGGCATGTCCGCGCCATCGCCATCGGTGCCACTGCCTCCCACGCGTTCGAAGAGGGGTCGTACCGCTCGACGGAGCTGAGGTAGTCGTCGCCGTCTTCGCCGCCAACAGCGTACAGCTTGCCGTCGAGCACAGCAACAGTGAGATGAGCCCGCGCTGTCGCCATCGGCGCCACCACCTCCCACGCGTCCAGCGCCGGGTCGTACCGCTCGACCGAGCTGAGGTAGCCGTCGTCGTTGTAGCCGCCCGCAACGTACAGCTTGCCTTCGAGCACCGCAACGCCAGAAGCACTCCGAGCAGACTCCATCGGCGCCACCGCCTCCCACGCGTTCGTCGTAGCGTCGTATCGCTCGACCGAGCTCAGGCTGGCAAACAAATCGTTGTCATTAGGCCCGTACCCGCCAACTGCGTACAGCTTGCCGTCGAGCACCGCCACGCCAACCATGTCCCGCATCGTCGCCATCGGTGCCACCAATTCCCACGCATCCTGCGCTGGGTCGTATCGCTCCACCGAGCTGAGGCCGTAGCTGTTGTCGCCGCCCACCGCATACAGCTTGCCGTCGAGCACCGCCATTCCGTGCCCGATCCTCCCGATGTCATCTGGGTCCTCCCCTTGGTTGTGGCTCGGGCCTGCCAATGGTGCAGCAGCCTCCCACGCGTTCGTCGCTGGATCGTACCGCTCGACCAAGTTGAGGCTGAGGCCCTCGGGACTTTCGCCACCCACAGTGTATAGCTTGCCGTCGAGCACCGCCATGCCGAACTCCTTTCGTGCCGTCAGCATCGGCGCCAGGTCCTCCTCCGCCCACGCATTTGAGGCAGGGTCGTGCCGCACCATCGAAGTGAGGTAATCGCCGTCGGCGCCGATGCCGCCAACCACCAGCAGGCGCGGTTCCGCACGGCGCCTCGCCAGCGTCTCCTTCCAGCCGCGGCGCCACGCGCGGCATGCCCCCTTGACGGCGTGCTCCGTGGTCGGCAGCTGGGCGAGGATGTGCGGGGCGAGGTCCGGCGAGAGGAGGACCTCGGAGAGGATCCACTCGGGCTGCTCCACGAGCCGAGCGGCGCGCTCCTCCGCCACGCGCAGCGCGGCGGCGCTCGCGCCCGCCTGCGCCTCGATGATGTCGCAAAGCTGCTCTGGCGAGAGGCCCGAGACGCGGGCGCCGATGCGGTGGGAGGCCATGAGCGGAGGGAGGAGGGAGAGGTGGCGAGTCTCGTATTCTTGGACGCAAAAAGAAAACGTATTTTCTTTCTTTTAGCGCTTGAATGGCTGCTGGCTGGTTCAAAGCGGCACTTTGCTCGCGTCGGCGCCGCCGAGCGCTGCACAGAGTGCACATTCACTGACCACCAACGACAGGTGTGCGACTACGCGCTCGTCTACGCGGAGAGGAGAAGAAAGAACGACGGCGAAGCGCCGTACTCGGTCTCCTTCACCGCGACGCAGAACGGCGACTGTCATCGTCCAGCTTCACCCGCACTCCCAGCTCGAGCGCGCTGTCCGCCACGAGCGGCAGGCGCAGGCCACGGAGCCGCCTGCGAGCGCGAGCCCTGCGGCGCCGCCAGCCCCTGCCGCCGCGCCGCCAGCCGCGGAGCCGGCGTCCAAGACGTACGCCGCCGCAGCCGCATCGCAGCCGCAGGGTGCCACCGCGGGTGGCCAGCCCGCCGCGCCTGCGGGCCCGACCGCCGCCGCGCGCGTGCCGCCGCCGCCCAGCGGCGGCGGAGTGCGCGGCTGCTCCTTCACTGTCCCTAACTAACCCGGGCAGGAAGCGTGGGCAGCAGCAGCGCGGCAAGGGCCGCGGTGCCAGGGGCCGTGCCGATGCTGGACCCCGTCTCGTTGACAAGAACGCGCTGTCCGCGCGCGGCAGCGGGCCCTCGCGCCAGTCGCGCTCGCCGTCGCCCGACTCTCCGCCCGCCAAGCGGGCCGCCTCCGCTGACTCGTCCGGCTATGAAACCGATACGCCGGACGAGGTGCAGCAGGAGGCGGTCCGCAGGGTATGCGGCGCGCTCGGCATGAGGACGCAGTTCGACGCGGCGGTGGCGGCGGGCGAGCTTCTCGAGCTGCTCGAGAGCTTGCCGCGAGGGGCGGTCGAGGCCTCTGTCCGACAGATGCGGGGTTACAACCGCACGGGCGAGTGGCCGGAGCCCATTCTCGCTAGCCCTGCCCCGCAGCGCGGCCGCTCGCCAAGCCCCCAGATGAGTGGTCAGATGGATAGTGCCCGAGAGCGAGGGGTCCGGGGGGGAGCACAAATAGGACGCCCAGCCCTGCCTGCCCTCGTGCCGCCGAGTGTGTATCCTATGCGAGAGAGATCCCCTGTGCCCTGTGCCCAGCCCTCCGCGCGGCGATGCGCCCTCCCCTCGCTTTTGCAAAATCCTGCAAAGGCGAAGTCCTTTTCTTTTCCCACGCTACTTTCTTCAATCGCCTGCCCGCTCGGCGCAGCCCTGTCGCGACGTCGAGCTGAGCACTTTACTCCGCCTCACCACCACACGAACAGCACGTTTACATGGCTCCGATAACCATCCTCGCCGTCCTCGCCGGCTGCAGCCTCGTGGGTTCGTTCTCTCTCATCGGCTGCCCGCACACACTCGCCGTCCGCGCCACCCGCGGTCGGCGACTGCGGCCGACGCCGCTGCGCGCGCTCGTGATGCGTCAGCTATACCCCGTGGGCGCGCCGCTCACCACTGGGAACCTCGCCGTCTCCTCCGTGCACACGCTCTACTACGAGCTGCACGGCAAGGCGGACGGCGTTCCGGCGCTCTTTCTGCACGGCGGCCCTGGCGCCGGCTGCACGCGGCGGCACGCCGGGTTCTTCGACCCGACCCACTACCGGGTCGTCCTCTTCGACCAGCGCGGGTGCGGCAAGTCGACGCCTCGTGGCTCCTTGGAGGGCAACGACACGCCCAGCCTGGTCGCCGATTGCGAGGCGCTGCGCAGGTGTTTTGCAGCGAGTTTGGCCCGGCCCACAGCTCTCCCCTTCGAGTCGCCTCTGTTCGGGTGCAGGCACCTCGGCATCGAAACGTGGGACCTCGTCCTCGGCGGGTCGTGGGGCGTCACCCTCGCCCTGGCGTATGCAGCCAGGCACCCCATTTAATTTCATTTCATTCGCCCTCTGTGAGCGCCGTGAGGAGACAGCAGGAGGCTGGCGGAGGCAAGAGAGCCTGGCGATAGGCACCCGACCAAGGTGAGCGCCCTGGTGCTGCGCGCCGTCTGCCTGATGCGCACCAAGGAGGTGCTCTGGCTCTTTGGCGACCGCGGCATCGGGCGGCTCCTCCCCGGCGGCCTCCACGCCTCCTCCGGATGACTTGAAGTCACGATGCTTGGCTGTGAATGAACCAGGCGGCTCCTCCCCGACGGCCTCCACGCCTCCTCCGGAGGACTTGAAGTAACGATGCTTGGCTGTGAATGAACCAGGCGGCTCATCCCCGACGGCTTCCACGCCTACTCCTCCGCTTGCGACACAGAGCGCACGCAGCAGCAGCAGCAGCAGCAGCAGCAGCAGCAGCAGCAGCAGCAGCAGCAGCAGCAGCAGCAGCAGCAGCAGCAGCAGCAGCCGCCGCCGCCGCCGCCGCCGCCAAACGACGACGGCGACGAGGGCCGGTTCTTGCGGTGGTACGCGTCGGCGCTGCGCGAGGAGCTTGGCAAGGAGGCCATGTAATCTCCCCACATCTCCCCACATCTCCCCGCATCTCCCCATATCTCACACGAGGAGCTTGGCAAGGAGGCCATGTAATCTCCCCACATCTCCCCACATCTCCCCGCATCTCCCCATATCTCACACGAGGAGCTTGGCAAGGAGGCCATGTAATCTCCCCACATCTCCCCACATCTCCCCGCATCTCCCCATATCTCACACGAGGAGCTTGGCAAGGAGGCCATGTAGTGGGACAGTCGTTAGCACTCGTCGAGCAGCTCGCCACTCGCCCTCGCAGAGAGCCACTCCACCGAGCGCTCCCCCTAGCAGACCCCTGCTGCCGCGTGACACCGAGCAGGCCCCTGCTGGCCGTGTCAAGCGCGTGCACTCGCCTCCTCCTCCCCCGAGCCCTCCCACCGCTCTCTTGCCCACCGCTGTCTTGCTTCTCACCCGCACGGCCTTGCTCAGCTGGTCTTTCTGCCTCAGAGTGCCATGGGGCGGGCGGCGTCCGAGCCCTCACACCGCTCTCTCGCCTCTGGCGTCAGGACGCCATGGCCCGGGCGGCGGCTGCGTGGTCGAAGTGGGAGATGTCTGTGTTGAGCCGCTCGTCGCAGTTGCCGCCGAACAGGCTGCGCGACTTGCTCGACGGTGACCTCTGCGAGCTGCCGGCAGGTCTCTCTCCCTCTCCGTCTGTCTGTCTGTCTGTCTCTCCCCCCCTCCCTCCCTCCCTCCCTCCCCCCCCCCCTTCTCTCCCTCCCTCCCTCCCCCCCCCCCCTTCTCTCTCTCTCTCTCTCTCTCTCTCTCTCTCTCTCTCTCTCTCTCTCTCTCTCCCTCTCCCTCTCTCTCCCTCTCTCTCCTCCCTCTCTCTCCTCTCACTCACTCACTCACTCACTCACTCACTCACTCGCTCACTCACTCACTCACTCACTCACTCACTCACTCACTCACTCACCAGCCGCTCTTCACGCCCCCCGTTCATTCACAGCTCCCTTCTCTCTGCCCGCACAGACGACCAGCCGTCCGACCTCCGCGCCACGTGGGCCTGGTCTCCCTCGTCGGCGCGGTGGGAGTGCGGCGGCGTGGAGCTACCCGAGGCGAGCCAACAGGAGAGGAGAAGGAGAGAGCAGAGGAGGGGAGGGGAGGGAAGGGGAGGAGGGGAGGGGAGGGGAGGGGGGAGAGGAGAGGAGAGGGGAGAGGAGAGGAGAGGAGAGGAGTGAAGAGGCTAGAGTCGCCTCCTCGGTGCCACATCCCATCCCCCCTCCGACGTCCCCATCCTCCTGCGCCCGAGGCGGCAGTGCGCACCGCTCTGAGCGAGGACGGCTTCAGCGCGCACATCGCGTGCGCGCTCAGCCAGCAGTCGGCGCTGCCGATGCCCCCCCGCGCGGGCGTGGGCGGCGCCGTCGAGAGGGCGCGCCAGTTCTACCAGCGAGCCATCGAGGCAGCGCGTGGGCGCGCGCCGGGGCGGCGTGTTGCGAGTGCTCCTCCCTTCACCTGGCGGAGCCCCCGTTGACTGCAGGCGCACGTGCCGGGCGGCGCGTCGGAGGACGGCCTGACGCCGCTCTC